CCAGCAGGGGCCACCAGCAGGGGCCACCAGCAGGGGCCACCAGCAGGGGCCACCAGCAGGGGCCACCAGCAGGGGCCACCAGCAGGGGCCACCAGCAGGGGCCACCAGCAGGGGCCACCAGCAGGGGCCACCAGCAGGGGCCACCAGCAGGGGCCACCAGCAGGGGCCACCAGCAGGGGCCACCAGCAGGGGCCACCAGCAGGGGCCACCAGCAGGGGCCACCAGCAGGGGCCACCAGCAGGGGCCACCAGCAGGGGCCACCAGCAGGGGCCACCAGCAGGGGCCACCAGCAGGGGCCACCAGCAGGGGCCACCAGCAGGGGCCACCAGCAGGGGCCACCAGCAGGGGCCACCAGCAGGGGCCACCAGCAGGGGCCACCAGCAGGGGCCACCAGCAGGGGCCACCAGCAGGGGCCACCAGCAGGGGCCACCAGCAGGGGCCACCAGCAGGGGCCACCAGCAGGGGCCACCAGCAGGGGCCACCAGCAGGGGCCACCAGCAGGGGCCACCAGCAGGGGCCACCAGCAGGGGCCACCAGCAGGGGCCACCAGCAGGGGCCACCAGCAGGGGCCACCAGCAGGGGCCACCAGCAGGGGCCACCAGCAGGGGCCACCAGCAGGGGCCACCAGCAGGGGCCACCAGCAGGGGCCACCAGCAGGGGCCACCAGCAGGGGCCACCAGCAGGGGCCACCAGCAGGGGCCACCAGCAGGGGCCACCAGCAGGGGCCACCAGCAGGGGCCACCAGCAGGGGCCACCAGCAGGGGCCACCAGCAGGGGCCACCAGCAGGGGCCACCAGCAGGGGCCACCAGCAGGGGCCACCAGCAGGGGCCACCAGCAGGGGCCACCAGCAGGGGCCACCAGCAGGGGCCACCAGCAGGGGCCACCAGCAGGGGCCACCAGCAGGGGCCACCAGCAGGGGCCACCAGCAGGGGCCACCAGCAGGGGCCACCAGCAGGGGCCACCAGCAGGGGCCACCAGCAGGGGCCACCAGCAGGGGCCACCAGCAGGGGCCACCAGCAGGGGCCACCAGCAGGGGCCACCAGCAGGGGCCACCAGCAGGGGGCCACCAGCAGGGGCCACCAGCAGGGCCACCAGCAGGGGCCACCAGCAGGGGCCACCAGCAGGGGCCACCAGCAGGGCCACCAGGCAGGGGGCCACCAGCAGGGGCCACCAGCAGGGCCACCAGCAGGGGCCACCAGCAGGGCCACCAGCAGGGGCCACCAGCAGGGGCCACCAGCAGGGGCCACCAGCAGGGGGCCACCAGCAGGGGCCACCAGCAGGGGCCACCAGCAGGGGCCACCAAGCAGGGGCCACAGCAGGGCCACCGCAGGGGCCACCAGCAGGGGCCACCAGCAGGGGCCACCAGCAGGGCCACCAGCAGGGGCCACCAGCAGGGGCCACCAGCAGGGCCACCAGCAGGGGCCACCAGCAGGGGCCACCAGCAGGGGCCACCAGCAGGGGCCACCAAAAGCAAGGGGCCACCAGCAGGGGCCACCAGCAGGGGCCACCAGCAGGGGCCACCAGCAGGGCCACCAGCAGGGGCCACCAGCAGGGCCACCAGCAGGGGCCACCAGCAGGGCCACCAGCAGGGGCCACCAGCAGGGCCACCAGCAGGGGCCACCAGCAGGGGCCACCAGCAGGGGCCACCAGCAGGGGCCACCAGCAGGGGCCACCAGCAGGGGCCACCAGCAAGGGGCCCACCAGCAGGGGCCACCAGCAGGGGCCACCAGCAGGGGCCACCAGCAGGGCCACCAGCCGGTGCCCACCAGCAGGGGCCACCAGCAGGGGCCACCAGCAGGGCCACCAGCAGGGGCCACCAGCAGGGGCCACCAGCAGGGCCACCAGCAGGGGCCACAGCAGGGGCCACCAGCAGGGGCCACCAGCAGGTGGCCCACCCAGCAGGGGCCACCAGCAGGGGCCACCAGCAGGGGCCACCAGCAGGGGCCACCAGCATGGGGCCACCAGCAGGGGCCACCAGCAGGGGCCACCCAGCAGGGGGCCACCAGCAGGGTGCCACCAGCAGGGGCCACCAGCAGGGGCACCAGCAGGGGCCACACAGCAGGGGCCACCAGCAGGGGCCACCAGCAGGGGCCACCAGCAGGGCCACCCAGCAGGGGCCACCAGCAGGGGCCACCAGCAGGGGCACCAGCAGGGGCCACCAGCAGGGGCCACCAGCAGGGGCCACCAGCAGGGGCCACCAGCAGGGGCCACCAGCAGGGGCCACCAGCAGGGGCCACCAGCAGGGGCCACCAGCAGGGGCCACCAGCAGGGGCCACCAGCAGGGGCCACCAGCAGGGGCCACCAGCAGGGGCCACCAGCAGGGGCCACCAGCAGGGGCCACCAGCAGGGGCCACCAGCAGGGGCCACCAGCAGGGGCCACCAGCAGGGGCCACCAGCAGGGGCCACCAGCAGGGGCCACCAGCAGGGGCCACCAGCAGGGGCCACCAGCAGGGGCCACCAGCAGGGGCCACCAGCAGGGGCCACCAGCAGGGGCCACCAGCAGGGGCCACCAGCAGGGGCCACCAGCAGGGGCCACCAGCAGGGGCCACCAGCAGGGGCCACCAGCAGGGGCCACCAGCAGGGGCCACCAGCAGGGGCCACCAGCAGGGGCCACCAGCAGGGGCCACCAGCAGGGGCCACCAGCAGGGGCCACCAGCAGGGGCCACCAGCAGGGGCCACCAGCAGGGGCCACCAGCAGGGGCCACCAGCAGGGGCCACCAGCAGGGGCCACCAGCAGGGGCCACCAGCAGGGGCCACCAGCAGGGGCCACCAGCAGGGGCCACCAGCAGGGGCCACCAGCAGGGGCCACCAGCAGGGGCCACCAGCAGGGGCCACCAGCAGGGGCCACCAGCAGGGGCCACCAGCAGGGGCCACCAGCAGGGGCCACCAGCAGGGGCCACCAGCAGGGGCCACCAGCAGGGGCCACCAGCAGGGGCCACCAGCAGGGGCCACCAGCAGGGGCCACCAGCAGGGGCCACCAGCAGGGGCCACCAGCAGGGGCCACCAGCAGGGGCCACCAGCAGGGGCCACCAGCAGGGGCCACCAGCAGGGGCCACCAGCAGGGGCCACCAGCAGGGGCCACCAGCAGGGGCCACCAGCAGGGGCCACCAGCAGGGGCCACCAGCAGGGGCCACCAGCAGGGGCCACCAGCAGGGGCCACCAGCAGGGGCCACCAGCAGGGGCCACCAGCAGGGGCCACCAGCAGGGGCCACCAGCAGGGGCCACCAGCAGGGGCCACCAGCAGGGGCCACCAGCAGGGGCCACCAGCAGGGGCCACCAGCAGGGGCCACCAGCAGGGGCCACCAGCAGGGGCCACCAGCAGGGGCCACCAGCAGGGGCCACCAGCAGGGGCCACCAGCAGGGGCCACCAGCAGGGGCCACCAGCAGGGGCCACCAGCAGGGGCCACCAGCAGGGGCCACCAGCAGGGGCCACCAGCAGGGGCCACCAGCAGGGGCCACCAGCAGGGGCCACCAGCAGGGGCCACCAGCAGGGGCCACCAGCAGGGGCCACCAGCAGGGGCCACCAGCAGGGGCCACCAGCAGGGGCCACCAGCAGGGGCCACCAGCAGGGGCCACCAGCAGGGGCCACCAGCAGGGGCCACCAGCAGGGGCCACCAGCAGGGGCCACCAGCAGGGGCCACCAGCAGGGGCCACCAGCAGGGGCCACCAGCAGGGGCCACCAGCAGGGGCCACCAGCAGGGGCCACCAGCAGGGGCCACCAGCAGGGGCCACCAGCAGGGGCCACCAGCAGGGGCCACCAGCAGGGGCCACCAGCAGGGGCCACCAGCAGGGGCCACCAGCAGGGGCCACCAGCAGGGGCCACCAGCAGGGGCCACCAGCAGGGGCCACCAGCAGGGGCCACCAGCAGGGGCCACCAGCAGGGGCCACCAGCAGGGGCCACCAGCAGGGGCCACCAGCAGGGGCCACCAGCAGGGGCCACCAGCAGGGGCCACCAGCAGGGGCCACCAGCAGGGGCCACCAGCAGGGGCCACCAGCAGGGGCCACCAGCAGGGGCCACCAGCAGGGGCCACCAGCAGGGGCCACCAGCAGGGGCCACCAGCAGGGGCCACCAGCAGGGGCCACCAGCAGGGGCCACCAGCAGGGGCCACCAGCAGGGGCCACCAGCAGGGGCCACCAGCAGGGGCCACCAGCAGGGGCCACCAGCAGGGGCCACCAGCAGGGGCCACCAGCAGGGGCCACCAGCAGGGGCCACCAGCAGGGGCCACCAGCAGGGGCCACCAGCAGGGGCCACCAGCAGGGGCCACCAGCAGGGGCCACCAGCAGGGGCCACCAGCAGGGGCCACCAGCAGGGGCCACCAGCAGGGGCCACCAGCAGGGGCCACCAGCAGGGGCCACCAGCAGGGGCCACCAGCAGGGGCCACCAGCAGGGGCCACCAGCAGGGGCCACCAGCAGGGGCCACCAGCAGGGGCCACCAGCAGGGGCCACCAGCAGGGGCCACCAGCAGGGGCCACCAGCAGGGGCCACCAGCAGGGGCCACCAGCAGGGGCCACCAGCAGGGGCCACCAGCAGGGGCCACCAGCAGGGGCCACCAGCAGGGGCCACCAGCAGGGGCCACCAGCAGGGGCCACCAGCAGGGGCCACCAGCAGGGGCCACCAGCAGGGGCCACCAGCAGGGGCCACCAGCAGGGGCCACCAGCAGGGGCCACCAGCAGGGGCCACCAGCAGGGGCCACCAGCAGGGGCCACCAGCAGGGGCCACCAGCAGGGGCCACCAGCAGGGGGGCCACCAGCCGGGGCACCAGCAGGGGCCACCAGCAGGGGCCCACCAGCAGGGGCCCACCAGCAGGGGCCACCAGCAGGGGCCACCAGCAGGGGCCACCAGCAGGGGCCACCAGCAGGGGCCACCAGCAGGGGCCACAGCAGGGGCCACCAGCAGGGGCCACCAGCAGGGGCCACCAGTCAGGGGCCACCAGCAAGGGCCACCAGCAGGGGCCACCAGCAAGGGGCCACCAGCAGGGCCACCAGCAGGGGCCACCAGCAGGGGCCACCAGCAGGGGCCACCAGCAGGGGCCACCAGCAGGGGCCACCAGCAGGGGCCACCACAAGGGGCCCCAGCGGGCCACCAGCAGGGGCCACCAGCAGGGGCCACCAGCAGGGGCCACCAGCAGGGGCCACCACAGGGCCACCAGCAGGGGCCACCAGCAGGGTGCCACCAGCAGGGGCCACCAGCAGGGGCCACCAGCAGGGGCCACCAGCAGGGGCCACCAGCAGGGGCCACCAGCAGGGGCCACCAGCAGGGGCCACCAGCAGGGGCCACCAGCAGGGGCCACCAGCAGGGGCCACCAGCAGGGGCCACCAGCAGGGGCCACCAGCAGGGGCCACCAGCAGGGGCCACCAGCAGGGGCCACCAGCAGGGGCCACCAGCAGGGGCCACCAGCAGGGGCCACCAGCAGGGGCCACCAGCAGGGGCCACCAGCAGGGGCCACCAGCAGGGGCCACCAGCAGGGGCCACCAGCAGGGGCCACCAGCAGGGGCCACCAGCAGGGGCCACCAGCAGGGGCCACCAGCAGGGGCCACCAGCAGGGGCCACCAGCAGGGGCCACCAGCAGGGGCCACCAGCAGGGGCCACCAGCAGGGGCCACCAGCAGGGGCCACCAGCAGGGGCCACCAGCAGGGGCCACCAGCAGGGGCCACCAGCAGGGGCCACCAGCAGGGGCCACCAGCAGGGGCCACCAGCAGGGGCCACCAGCAGGGGCCACCAGCAGGGGCCACCAGCAGGGGCCACCAGCAGGGGCCACCAGCAGGGGCCACCAGCAGGGGCCACCAGCAGGGGCCACCAGCAGGGGCCACCAGCAGGGGCCACCAGCAGGGGCCACCAGCAGGGGCCACCAGCAGGGGCCACCAGCAGGGGCCACCAGCAGGGGCCACCAGCAGGGGCCACCAGCAGGGGCCACCAGCAGGGGCCACCAGCAGGGGCCACCAGCAGGGGCCACCAGCAGGGGCCACCAGCAGGGGCCACCAGCAGGGGCCACCAGCAGGGGCCACCAGCAGGGGCCACCAGCAGGGGCCACCAGCAGGGGCCACCAGCAGGGGCCACCAGCAGGGGCCACCAGCAGGGGCCACCAGCAGGGGCCACCAGCAGGGGCCACCAGCAGGGGCCACCAGCAGGGGCCACCAGCAGGGGCCACCAGCAGGGGCCACCAGCAGGGGCCACCAGCAGGGGCCACCAGCAGGGGCCACCAGCAGGGGCCACCAGCAGGGGCCACCAGCAGGGGCCACCAGCAGGGGCCACCAGCAGGGGCCACCAGCAGGGGCCACCAGCAGGGGCCACCAGCAGGGGCCACCAGCAGGGGCCACCAGCAGGGGCCACCAGCAGGGGCCACCAGCAGGGGCCACCAGCAGGGGCCACCAGCAGGGGCCACCAGCAGGGGCCACCAGCAGGGGCCACCAGCAGGGGCCACCAGCAGGGGCCACCAGCAGGGGCCACCAGCAGGGGCCACCAGCAGGGGCCACCAGCAGGGGCCACCAGCAGGGGCCACCAGCAGGGGCCACCAGCAGGGGCCACCAGCAGGGGCCACCAGCAGGGGCCACCAGCAGGGGCCACCAGCAGGGGCCACCAGCAGGGGCCACCAGCAGGGGCCACCAGCAGGGGCCACCAGCAGGGGCCACCAGCAGGGGCCACCAGCAGGGGCCACCAGCAGGGGCCACCAGCAGGGGCCACCAGCAGGGGCCACCAGCAGGGGCCACCAGCAGGGGCCACCAGCAGGGGCCACCAGCAGGGGCCACCAGCAGGGGCCACCAGCAGGGGCCACCAGCAGGGGCCACCAGCAGGGGCCACCAGCAGGGGCCACCAGCAGGGGCCACCAGCAGGGGCCACCAGCAGGGGCCACCAGCAGGGGCCACCAGCAGGGGCCACCAGCAGGGGCCACCAGCAGGGGCCACCAGCAGGGGCCACCAGCAGGGGCCACCAGCAGGGGCCACCAGCAGGGGCCACCAGCAGGGGCCACCAGCAGGGGCCACCAGCAGGGGCCACCAGCAGGGGCCACCAGCAGGGGCCACCAGCAGGGGCCACCAGCAGGGGCCACCAGCAGGGGCCACCAGCAGGGGCCACCAGCAGGGGCCACCAGCAGGGGCCACCAGCAGGGGCCACCAGCAGGGGCCACCAGCAGGGGCCACCAGCAGGGGCCACCAGCAGGGGCCACCAGCAGGGGCCACCAGCAGGGGCCACCAGCAGGGGCCACCAGCAGGGGCCACCAGCAGGGGCCACCAGCAGGGGCCACCAGCAGGGGCCACCAGCAGGGGCCACCAGCAGGGGCCACCAGCAGGGGCCACCAGCAGGGGCCACCAGCAGGGGCCACCAGCAGGGGCCACCAGCAGGGGCCACCAGCAGGGGCCACCAGCAGGGGCCACCAGCAGGGGCCACCAGCAGGGGCCACCAGCAGGGGCCACCAGCAGGGGCCACCAGCAGGGGCCACCAGCAGGGGCCACCAGCAGGGGCCACCAGCAGGGGCCACCAGCAGGGGCCACCAGCAGGGGCCACCAGCAGGGGCCACCAGCAGGGGCCACCAGCAGGGGCCACCAGCAGGGGCCACCAGCAGGGGCCACCAGCAGGGGCCACCAGCAGGGGCCACCAGCAGGGGCCACCAGCAGGGGCCACCAGCAGGGGCCATCAGCAGGGGCCACCAGCAGGGGCCCACCAGCAGGGGCCACCAGCAGGGGCCACCAGGCAGGGGCCACCAGCAGGGGGCCACCAGCAGGGGCCCAGCAGGGGCCACCAGCAGGGGCCACCAGCAGGGGCCACCAGCAGGGGCACCAGCAGGGGCCACCAGCAGGTGGCCACCAGCAGGGGCCACCAGCAGGGGCCACCAGCAGGGGCCACCAGCAGCAGGGGGCCACCAGCAGGGGCCACAGCAGGGGCCACCAGCGGGGCCACCAGCAAGGGGCCACCAGCAGGTGCCACAGCAGGGGCCACCAGCAGGGGCCACCAGCAGGGGCCACCAGCAGGGGCCACCAGCAGGGGCCACCAGCAGGGGCCACCAGCAGGGGCCACCAGCAGGGGCCACCAGCAGGGGCCACCAGCAGGGGCCACCAGCAGGGGCCACCAGCAGGGGCCACCAGCAGGGGCCACCAGCAGGGGCCACCAGGCAGGGGCCACCAGCAGGGGCCACCAGCAGGGGCCACCAGCAGGGGCCACCAGCAGGGGCCACCAGCAGGGGCCACCAGCAGGGGCCACCAGCAGGGGCCACCAGGCAGGGGCCACCAGCAGGGCCACCAGCAGGGCCACCAGCAGGGGCCACCAGCAGGGGCCACCAGCAGGGGCCACCAGCAGGGGCCACCAGCAGGGGCCACCAGCAGGGGCCACCAGCAGGGGCCACCAGCAGGGGCCACCAGCAGGGCCACCAGCAGGGGCCACCAGCAGGGGCCACCAGCAGGGGCCACCAGCAGGGGCCACCAGCAGGGGCCACCAGCAGGGGCCACCAGCAGGGGGCCACCAGCAGGGGCCACCAGCACGGGGCCACCAGCAGGGAGCCACCAGCAGGGGCCACCAGCAGGGGCCACCAGCAGGGGCCACCAGCAGCGCGGCCACCAGCAGGGGGCCACCAGCAGGGGCCACCAGCAGGGGCCACAGCAGGGGGCCACCAGCAGGGGCCACCAGCAGGGGCCACCAGCAGGGGCACCAGCAGGGGCCACCAGCAGGGGCCCACCAGCAGGGGCCACCCAGGGGCCACCAGCAGGGGCCACCACAGGGGCCACCAGCAGGGGCCACCAGCAGGGGCCACCAGCAGGGGCCACCAGCAGGGGCCACCAGCAGGGGCCACCAGCAGGGGGCCACCCAGCAGGGGCCACCAGCAGGGGCCACCAGCAGGGGCCACCAGCAGGGGCCACCAGCAGGGGCCACCAGCAGGGGCCACCAGCAGGGGCCACCAGCAGGGGCCACCAGCAGGGGCCACCAGCAGGGGCCACCAGCAGGGGCCACCAGCAGGGGCCACCAGCAGGGGCCACCAGCAGGGGCCACCAGCAGGGGCACACCAGCAGGGGCCACCAGCAGGGGCCACCAGCAGGGGCCACCAGCAGGGGCCACCAGCAGGGGCCACCAGCAGGGGCCACCAGCAGGGGCCACCAGCAGGGGCCACCAGCAGGGGCCACCAGCAGGGGCCACCAGCAGGGGCCACCAGCAGGGGCCACCAGCAGGGGCCACCAGCAGGGGCCACCAGCAGGGGCCACCAGCAGGGGCCACCAGCAGGGGCCACCAGCAGGGGCCACCAGCAGGGGCCACCAGCAGGGGCCACCAGCAGGGGCCACCAGCAGGGGCCACCAGCAGGGGCCACCAGCAGGGGCCACCAGCAGGGGCCACCAGCAGGGGCCACCAGCAGGGGCCACCAGCAGGGGCCACCAGCAGGGGCCACCAGCAGGGGCCACCAGCAGGGGCCACCAGCAGGGGCCACCAGCAGGGGCCACCAGCAGGGGCCACCAGCAGGGGCCACCAGCAGGGGCCACCAGCAGGGGCCACCAGCAGGGGCCACCAGCAGGGGCCACCAGCAGGGGCCACCAGCAGGGGCCACCAGCAGGGGCCACCAGCAGGGGCCACCAGCAGGGGCCACCAGCAGGGGCCACCAGCAGGGGCCACCAGCAGGGGCCACCAGCAGGGGCCACCAGCAGGGGCCACCAGCAGGGGCCACCAGCAGGGGCCACCAGCAGGGGCCACCAGCAGGGGCCACCAGCAGGGGCCACCAGCAGGGGCCACCAGCAGGGGCCACCAGCAGGGGCCACCAGCAGGGGCCACCAGCAGGGGCCACCAGCAGGGGCCACCAGCAGGGGCCACCAGCAGGGGCCACCAGCAGGGGCCACCAGCAGGGGCCACCAGCAGGGGCCACCAGCAGGGGCCACCAGCAGGGGCCACCAGCAGGGGCCACCAGCAGGGGCCACCAGCAGGGGCCACCAGCAGGGGCCACCAGCAGGGGCCACCAGCAGGGGCCACCAGCAGGGGCCACCAGCAGGGGCCACCAGCAGGGGCCACCAGCAGGGGCCACCAGCAGGGGCCACCAGCAGGGGCCACCAGCAGGGGCCACCAGCAGGGGCCACCAGCAGGGGCCACCAGCAGGGGCCACCAGCAGGGGCCACCAGCAGGGGCCACCAGCAGGGGCCACCAGCAGGGGCCACCAGCAGGGGCCACCAGCAGGGGCCCACCAGCAGGGGCCACCAGCAGGGGCCACCAGCAGGGGCCACCAGCAGGGGCCACCAGCAGGGGCCACCAGCAGGGGCCACCAGCAGGGGCCACCAGCAGGGGCCACCAGCAGGGGCCACCAGCAGGGGCCACCAGCAGGGGCCACCAGCAGGGGCCACCAGCAGGGGCCACCAGCAGGGGCCACCAGCAGGGGCCACCAGCAGGGGCCACCAGCAGGGGCCACCAGCAGGGGCCACCAGCAGGGGCCACCAGCAGGGGCCACCAGCAGGGGCCACCAGCAGGGGCCACCAGCAGGGGCCACCAGCAGGGGCCACCAGCAGGGGCCACCAGCAGGGGCCACCAGCAGGGGCCACCAGCAGGGGCCACCAGCAGGGGCCACCAGCAGGGGCCACCAGCAGGGGCCACCAGCAGGGGCCACCAGCAGGGGCCACCAGCAGGGGCCACCAGCAGGGGCCACCAGCAGGGGCCACCAGCAGGGGCCACCAGCAGGGGCCACCAGCAGGGGCCACCAGCAGGGGCCACCAGCAGGGGCCACCAGCAGGGGCCACCAGCAGGGGCCACCAGCAGGGGCCACCAGCAGGGGCCACCAGCAGGGGCCACCAGCAGGGGCCACCAGCAGGGGCCACCAGCAGGGGCCACCAGCAGGGGCCACCAGCAGGGGCCACCAGCAGGGGCCACCAGCAGGGGCCACCAGCAGGGGCCACCAGCAGGGGCCACCAGCAGGGGCCACCAGCAGGGGCCACCAGCAGGGGCCACCAGCAGGGGCCACCAGCAGGGGCCACCAGCAGGGGCCACCAGCAGGGGCCACCAGCAGGGGCCACCAGCAGGGGCCACCAGCAGGGGCCACCAGCAGGGGCCACCAGCAGGGGCCACCAGCAGGGGCCACCAGCAGGGGCCACCAGCAGGGGCCACCAGCAGGGGCCACCAGCAGGGGCCACCAGCAGGGGCCACCAGCAGGGGCCACCAGCAGGGGCCACCAGCAGGGGCCACCAGCAGGGGCCACCAGCAGGGGCCACCAGCAGGGGCCACCAGCAGGGGCCACCAGCAGGGGCCACCAGCAGGGGCCACCAGCAGGGGCCACCAGCAGGGGCCACCAGCAGGGGCCACCAGCAGGGGCCACCAGCAGGGGCCACCAGCAGGGGCCACCAGCAGGGGCCACCAGCAGGGGCCACCAGCAGGGGCCACCAGCAGGGGCCACCAGCAGGGGCCACCAGCAGGGGCCACCAGCAGGGGCCACCAGCAGGGGCCACCAGCAGGGGCCACCAGCAGGGGCCACCAGCAGGGGCCACCAGCAGGGGCCACCAGCAGGGGCCACCAGGGGCCACCAGCAGGGCCACCAGCAGGGGCCACCAGCAGGGGCCACCAGCAGGGGCACCAGCAGGGGGCCACCAGCAGGGGCCACCAGCAGGGGCCACCAGCAGGGGCCACAGCAGGGGCCACCAGCAGGGGCCACCAGCAGGGGCCACCAGCAGGGGCCACCAGCAGGGGCCACCCGCAGGGGCCACCAGCAGGGCCCACCAGCAGGGGCCACCAGCAGGGGCCCGCCGGGCACCAGCAGGGGCCACCAGCAGGGGCCACCAGCAGGGGCCACCAGCAGGGGTCCACCCCCCCCCAGCAGGCCACCAGCAGGCCACCAGCAGGGGCCACAGCAGGGGCCACCAGCAGGTGCCACCAGCAGGGGCCACCAGCAGGGGCCACCAGCAGGGGCCACCAGCAGGGGGCCACCAGCAGGGGCCACCAGCAGGGGCCACCAGCAGTGGGCCAACCAGCAGGGCCACCAGCAGGGGCCACCAGCAGGGGCCACCAGCAGGGGCCACCAGCAGGGGCCACAGCAGGGGCCACCAGCTAGGGGCCACCAGCAGGGGCCACCAGCAGGGGCCACCAGCAGGGGCCACCAGCAGGGGCCACCAGCAGGGGCCACCAGCAGGGGCCACCAGCAGGGGCCACCAGCAGGGGCCACCAGCAGGGGCCACCAGCAGGGGCCACCAGCAGGGGCCACCAGCAGGGGCCACCAGCAGGGGCCACCAGCAGGGGCCACCAGCAGGGGCCACCAGCAGGGGCCACCAGCAGGGGCCACCAGCAGGGGCCACCAGCAGGGGCCACCAGCAGGGGCCACCAGCAGGGGCCACCAGCAGGGGCCACCAGCAGGGGCCACCAGCAGGGGCCACCAGCAGGGGCCACCAGCAGGGGCCACCAGCAGGGGCCACCAGCAGGGGCCACCAGCAGGGGCCACCAGCAGGGGCCACCAGCAGGGGCCACCAGCAGGGGCCACCAGCAGGGGCCACCAGCAGGGGCCACCAGCAGGGGCCACCAGCAGGGGCCACCAGCAGGGGCCACCAGCAGGGGCCACCAGCAGGGGCCACCAGCAGGGGCCACCAGCAGGGGCCACCAGCAGGGGCCACCAGCAGGGGCCACCAGCAGGGGCCACCAGCAGGGGCCACCAGCAGGGGCCCACCAAGCAGGGGCCACCAGCAGGGGCACCAGCAGGGCCACCAGCAGGGGCCACCAGCAGGGGCCACCAGCAGGGGCCACCAGCAGGGGCCACCAGCAGGGGCCACCAGCAGGGGGCCACCAGCAGGGGCCACCAGCAGGGGCCACCAGCAGGGGCCACCCAGCAGGGGCCACCAGCAGGGGCCACCAGCAGGGGCCACCAGCAGGGGCCACCAGCAGGGGCCACCAGCAGGGGCCACCAGCAGGGGCCACCAGCAGGGGCCACCAGCAGGGGCCACCAGCAGGGGCCACCAGCAGGGGCCACGAGCAGGGCCACCAGCAGGGGCCACCAGCAGGGGCCACCAGCAGGGTGCCACCAGAGGGGCCACCAGCAGGGGCCACCAGCAGGGGCCACCAGCAGGGGCCACCAGCAGGGGCCACCAGCAGGGGCCCACCCAGCAGGGGCCACCAGCAGGGCCACCAGCAGGGGCCACCAGCAGGGGCCACCAGAGGGGCCACCAGCAGGGGCCACCAGCAGGGGCCACCAGCAGGGGCCACCAGCAGGGGCCACCAGCAGGGGCCACCAGCAGGGGCCACCAGCAGGGGCCACCAGCAGGGGCCACCAGCAGGGGCCACCAGCAGGGGCCACCAGCAGGGGCCACCAGCAGGGGCCACCAGCAGGGGCCACCAGCAGGGGCCACCAGCAGGGGCCACCAGCAGGGGCCACCAGCAGGGGCCACCAGCAGGGGCCACCAGCAGGGGCCACCAGCAGGGGCCACCAGCAGGGGCCACCAGCAGGGGCCACCAGCAGGGGCCACCAGCAGGGGCCACCAGCAGGGGCCACCAGCAGGGGCCACCAGCAGGGGCCACCAGCAGGGGCCACCAGCAGGGGCCACCAGCAGGGGCCACCAGCAGGGGCCACCAGCAGGGGCCACCAGCAGGGGCCACCAGCAGGGGCCACCAGCAGGGGCCACCAGCAGGGGCCACCAGCAGGGGCCACCAGCAGGGGCCACCAGCAGGGGCCACCAGCAGGGGCCACCAGCAGGGGCCACCAGCAGGGGCCACCAGCAGGGGCCACCAGCAGGGGCCACCAGCAGGGGCCACCAGCAGGGGCCACCAGCAGGGGCCACCAGCAGGGGGCCACCAGCAGGGGCCACCAGCAGGGGCCACCAGCAGGGGCCACCAGCAGGGGCCACCAGCAGGGGCCACCAGCAGGGGCCACCAGCAGGGGGGCCACCAGCAGGGGCCACCAGCAGGGGCCACCAGCAGGGGCCACCAGCAGGGGCCACCAGCAGGGGCCACCAGCAGGGGCCACCAGCAGGGGCACCAGCAGGGGCCACCAGCAGGGGCCACCAGCAGGGGCCACCAGCAGGGGCCACCAGCAGGGGCCACCAGCAGGGGCCACCAGCAGGGGCCACCAGCAGGGGCCACCAGCAGGGGCCACCAGCAGGGGCCACCAGCAGGGGCCACCAGCAGGGGCCACCAGCAGGGGCCACATGATGTGGATCTTCGGAACTGCCACATGCCATGGGACCTAACTAGGTCCTGGTAGGTCCATTCCCTGCTACCGAGGCCACCAGCAGGGGGAAAGCGATGAGAGGAGCCTCGTGTCATTCGTGTCCACTCCCACAAGAATGACACGAGGCTCGTATTCCTCCTCGCATATGCTTGTCACCCTTGAGCAGGAATTTACTCCGCAACGATAGCACAGCCGACTGCCATGGGATCTACTAGGTCTACATACGCACGTACCAAAGCCGCCAGCTGGTGGGAAGCGGTGAGCCGCATCCCCCACTAGAATCACACGAGGCTCGTATGAGACATATCCCTCCCCAGAGACATGCCCCTCACTGCCCAGTGCTGGTGGTGATGTTGGGTGGTTTGAAGCAGTTGGTGGCGGTGCAGCGAGGTAGTGAGAGGCGACTTGAGCAGCCATGATCCAGGGCTTGGCAGAGCGGATAGCGATGTGGATGGTGGGGTCTCCTATAAGTGCTCGCACCATGCGCTCACAGTTCTGGTGATAGGTGATAGGTGAAGGAGGAGATGGAGGGGATGGAAGGGAAAGAAAGGGAGGCAGCATGAGCCGCCATGATCAACGGTTTCAAAGTGGATGGTGATGGGGATGGATGAATCTCCAACCAGTGCTCCCACCATTCGCTCACAGTTCTGGTGATAGGTGAGAGGAGGGCATGGGGGAATGATGAGATATTAGGAAGGAGATTGGGATGGATGAATTCCCTACGAGTGATCGCAACATGCGCTCACAGTCCTGGTTTGGGGAGGTGAAGTGAGGGGATGGAAGCGAAAGGAACGAGGCAAATTGGGCGGCCATGGTCCAGGGCTTGGCAGAGCGGATGGTGATGGGGATGGATGGTGGGGTCCCCTATGAGTGCTCGCACCATGAACTCACAGTCCTGGTGGGGGGAGGGGAAGGTGACGAGGTTTCAAGAGGAAGAGATGGTGACAAGGTGAAGTTGGGACGGGAATGGTGGGGTCCCCTATGAGTGCTCACACCATGCGCTCACAGTCCTGGTGGGGGGAGGTGGAAAGGGGGATTGACAGGATAGAGGTCAAAGCGTTGATGGCAGGGGGCAGAGTGGGGTTTTTTTATGAGCGCCCGCACCAGGTGATTACGCGTTTTGAGACGTCTCAAAACACTTCTTCATACACGTGGCTATTTATGAGCGCCCGCACCAGGTGATTACGTGTTTTGAGACGTCTCAAAACACTTCTTCATACACGTGGCTATTTATGAGCGCCCTCACCAGGTGATTACGTGTTTTGAGACGTCTCAAAACACTTCTTCATACACGTGCCTATTAATGAGCGCCCGCACCAGGTGATCACGTGTTTTGAGACGTCTCAAAACACTTCTTTATACACGTGGCTATTTATGAGCGCCCGCATCAGGTGATTACGTGTTTTGAGACGCCTCAAAACACTTCTTCATACACGTGGCTATTTATGAGCGCCCGCACCAGGTGATCACGTGTTTTGAGACGTCTCAAAACACTTCTTCATACACGTGGCTATTTATGAGCGCCCACACCAGGTGATTACGCGTTTTGAGACGTCTCAAAACACTTCTTCATACACGTGGCTATTTATGAGCGCCCACACCAGGTGATCACGCGTTTTGAGACGTCTCAAAACACTTCTTCATACACGTGGCTATTTGCGAGCGCCCACACCAGATGATTACGCGTTTTGAGACGTCTCAAAACACTTCTTCATACACGTGGCTATTTATGAGCGCCCACACTAGGTGATTACGCGTTTTGAGACGTCTCAAAACACTTCTTCATACACGTGGCTATTTATGAGCGCCCGCACCAGGTGATTACGTGTTTTGAGACGTCTCAAAACACTTCTTCATACACTTGGCTATTTATGAGCGCCCGCACCGGGTGATCACGTGTTTTGAGACGTCTCAAAACACTTCTTCATACACGTGGCTATTTATGAGCGCCCGCACCAGGTGATTACGTGTTTTGAGACGTCTCAAAACACTTCTTCATACACGTGGCTATTTATGAGCGCCCACACCAGGTGATCACGCGTTTTGAGACGTCTCAAAACACTTCTTCATACACGTGGCTATTTGCGAGCGCCCACACCAGGTGATTACGCGTTTTGAGACGTCTCAAAACACTTCTTCATACACGTGGCTATTTATGAGCGCCCACACTAGGTGATTACGCGTTTTGAGACGTCTCAAAACACTTCTTCATACACGTGGCTATTTATGAGCGCCCGCACCAGGTGATTACGTGTTTTGAGACGTCTCAAAACACTTCTTCATACACGTGGCTATTTATGAGCGCCCGCACCGGGTGATCACGTGTTTTGAGACGTCTCAAAACACTTCTTCATACACGTGGCTATTTATGAGCGCCCGCATCAGGTGATCACGTGTTTTGAGACGTCTCAAAACACTTCTTCATACACGTGGCTATTTATGAGCGCCCTCACCAGGTGATTACGTGTTTTGAGACGTCTCAAAACACTTCTTCATACATGTGGCTATTTATGAGCGCCCGCACCAGCTGATCACGTGTTTTGAGGCGTCTCAAAACACTTCTTCATACACGTGGCTATTTATGAGCGCCCGCACCAGGTGATTACGTGTTTTGAGACGTCTCAAAACACTTCTTCATACACGTGGCTATTTATGAGCGCTCGCACCAGGTGATCACGTGTTTTGAGACGTCTCAAAACACTTCTTTATACACGTGGCTATTTATGAGCGCCCGCATCAGGTGATTACGTGTTTTGAGACGCCTCAAAACACTTCTTCATACACGTGGCTATTTATGAGCGCCCGCACCAGGTGATCACGTGTTTTGAGACGTCTCAAAACACATCTTTATACACGTGGCTATTTATGAGCGCCCGCATCAGGTGATTAAATGTTTTGAGACGCCTCAAAACACTTCTTCATACACGTGGCTATTTATGAGCGCCCGCACCAGGTGATCACGTGTTTTGAGACGTCTCAAAACACTTCTTCATACACGTGGCTATTTATGAGCGCCCACACCAGGTGATCACGTGTTTTGAGACGTCTCAAAACACTTCTTCATACACGTGGCTATTTATGAGCGCCCGCATCAGGTGATTACGTGTTTTGAGACGTCTCAAAACACTTCTTCATACACGTGGCTATTTATGAGCGCCTGCACTAGGTGATCACGTGTTTTGAGACGTCTCAAAACACTTCTTCATACACGTGGCTATTTATGAGCGCCCGCACCAGGTGATCACGTGTTTTGAGACGTCTCAAAACACTTCTTCATACACGTGGCTATTTGTAAGCGCCCGCACCAGGTGATCACGTGTTTTGAGACGTCTCAAAACACTTCTTCATACACGTGGCTATTTATGAGCGCCCGCATCAGGTGATTACGTGTTTTGAGACGTCTCAAAACACTTCTTCATACACGTGGCTATTTATGAGCGCCCGCACCAGGTGATCACGTGTTTTGAGACGTCTCAAAACACTTCTTCATACACGTGGCTATTTATGAGCGCCCGCATCAGGTGATCACGTGTTTTGAGACGTCTCAAAACACTTCTTCATACACGTGGCTATTTATGAGCGTCCGCATCAGGTGATCACGTGTTTTGAGACGTCTCAAAACACTTCTTCATACACGTGGCTATTTATGAGCGCCCGCACCAGGTGATCACGTGTTTTGAGACGTCTCAAAACACTTCTTCATACACGTGGCTATTTGTAAGCGCCCGCACCAGGTGATCACGTGTTTTGAGACGTCTCAAAACACTTCTTCATACACGTGGCTATTTATGAGCGCCCGCATCAGGTGATTACGTGTTTTGAGACGTCTCAAAACACTTCTTCATACACGTGGCTATTTATGAGCGCCCGCACCAGGTGATTACGTGTTTTGAGACGTCTCAAAACACTTCTTCATACACGTGGCTATTTATGAGCGCCCGCACCAGGTGATCACGTGTTTTGAGACGTCTCAAAACACTTCTTCATACACGTGGCTATTTGTAAGCGCCCGCACCAGGTGATCACGTGTTTTGAGACGTCTCAAAACACTTCTTCATACACGTGGCTATTTATGAGCGCCCGCATCAGGTGATTACGTGTTTTGAGACGTCTCAAAACACTTCTTCATACACGTGGCTATTTATGAGCGCCCGCACCAGGTGATAACGTGTGTTGAGATGTCTCAAAACACTTCTTCATACACGTGGCTATTTATGAGCGCCCGCACCAGGTGATTACGTGTTTTGAGACGTCTCAAAACACTTCTTCATACACGTGGCTATTTATGAGCGCCCGCATCAGGTGATCACGTGTTTTGAGACGTCTCAAAACACTTCTTCATACACGAGGCTATTTATGAGCGCCCGCACCACGTGATCACGTGTTTTGAGACGTCTCAATACACTTCTTCATACACGTGGCTATTTATGAGCGCCCGCACCAGGTGATTACGTGTTTTGAGACGTCTCAAAACACTTCTTCATACACGTGGCTATTTATGAGCGCCCGCACCAGGTGATCACGTGTTTTGAGACGTCTCAAAACACTTCTTCATACACGTGGCTATTTATGAGCGCCCGCACCAGGTGATTACGTGTTTTGAGACGTCTCAAAACACTTCTTCATACACGTGGCTATTTATGAGTGCCCGCACCAGGTGATCACGTGTTTTGAGACGTCTCAAAACACTTCTACATACACGTGGCTATTTATGAGCGCCCGCATCAGGTGATTACGTGTTTTGAGACGCCTCAAAACACTTCTTCATACACGTGGCTATTTATGAGCGCCCGCATCAGGTGATTACGTGTTTTGAGACGTCTCAAAACACTTCTTCATACACGTGGCTATTTATGAGCGCCCGCACCGGGTGATCACGTGTTTTGAGACGTCTCAAAACACTTCTTCATACACGTGGCTATTTATGAGCGCCCGCACCAGGTGATCACGTGTTTTGAGACGTCTCAAAACACTTCTTCATACACGTGGCTATTTATGAGCGCCCGCACCAAGTGATTACGTGTTTTGAGACGTCTCAAAACACTTCTTCATACACGTGGCTATTTATGAGCGCCCGCATCAGGTGATCACGTGTTTTGAGACGTCTCAAAACACTTCTTCATACACGAGGCTATTTATGAACGCCCGCACCACGTGATCACGTGTTTTGAGACGTCTCAAAACACTTCTTCATACACGTGGCTATTTATGAGCGCCCGCACCAGGTGATTACGTGTTTTGAGACGTCTCAAAACACTTCTTCATACACGTGGCTATTTATGAGCGCCCGCACCAGGTGATCACGTGTTTTGAGACGTCTCAAAACACTTCTTCATACACGTGGCTATTTATGAGCGCCCGCATCAGGTGATCACGTGTTTTGAGACGTCTCAAAACACTTCTTCATACACGCGGCTATTTATGAGCGCCCGCACCGGGTGATCACGTGTTTTGAGACGTCTCAAAACACTTCTTCATACACGTGGCTATTTATGAGCGCCCGCATCAGGTGATTACGTGTTTTGAGACGTCTCAAAACACTTCTTCATACACGTGGCTATTTATGAGCGCCTGCACCAGGTGATCACGTGTTTTGAGACGTCTCAAAACACTTCTTCATACACGTGGCTATTTATGAGCGCCCGCACCAGGTGATCACGTGTTTTGAGACGTCTCAAAACACTTCTTCATACACATGGCTATTTATGAGCGCCCGCACCAGGTGATTACGTGTTTTGAGACGTCTCAAAACACTTCTTCATACACGTGGCTATTTATGAGCGCCCGCACCAGGTGATCACGGTCCTATCGATCGTTGAGAAGGGATGGAGGGGACGGAGGGGACGGAGGGGAAGGGAAAGGGAAGGAGGCAACTTGAACAACCGTGACACAAGGCTTGGCAAAGCGGATGGTGATGGGGATGGTGGAATCCCCTACCAGCGCTCGCACCATGCGCTCACATTCCTAACAATTAGTGTGAGGGGAGGGAGGGGGAAAGGGAAGGAGGCGACTTGAACAACCGTGACACAAGGCTTGGCAAAGCGGATGGTGATGGGGATGGTGGAATCCCCTACCAGCGCTCGCACCATGCACTCACATTCCTAACAATTAGTGTGAGGGGAGGGAGGGGGAAAGGGAAGGAGGCGACTTGAACAACTGTGACACAAGGCTTGGCAAAGCAGATGGTGATGGGGATGGTGGAATCCCCTACCAGCGCTCGCACCATGCGCTCACATTCCTAACAATTAGTGTGAGGGGGGGAAGGGGGAAAGGGAAGGAGGCGACTTGAAAAACCATGACACAGGGCTTGGCAAAGCGGATGGTGATGGGGATGGATGAGTCTCCTATGAGTGCTCGCACCATGCAGTCACAGTTCTGGAGGGGGAAGAGGTGAAGGAGGTCGGCAGAGGGCAGAGACCGGGATGGGATGGGATGGGATGGGGGGGCCTCTCATGAGAGCATGTTTTTTGAGAATTCTCAGTATGTTTTCTGAGAAATCTCAGCATGTTTTTTGAGAATTATCAGTATATTTTTTGAGAATTCTCAAAAACCATAGGTGGGCAGAGGGCAGAGACCAGGATGGGAAGGGGATGGGGGGGCCTCTCATGAGAGCCCGCACCATGCGCTCACAGTCCTGTTTTGAGACGTCTCAAAACATCGTTATTAGATGGCGGGTCGCCTATCAGTGGCCGCTCACACAATGTGATCACAGTCCTACCTGCACCAACACCATCAGCGCACACCACACCAGTGCTCATTTTGAGGCGCCTCAAAAGCCAATGCACATCGTATGCTCGCTCACCTTATTTGTTGGCACATTCTGGCCGTCCGAGAAGAGAGGAATCTGGGGGCATGGGGAGCCGCAGGGGAGTCCAAGTAGTCAATCAGGAAAGGCCAACGCGTTGGGGGCGGGGGGTTGGAGAGCAGGAGGCACTGTTGAGAATTCTCTAGAGCGATAGATAGTCGCAGGGGAGGGCAAGAAAGAAGGGAAAAGCATTGGGGGTAGAGTGGAGGGTTGGAGAGCAGGAGACGAGATGAGTAGGATGAGGAAAACGAGGAGAGTGGACGACGAACTCTCCCTCACCTGGGCGACAAACTCTCCCTCTCTCAAGCAGTGCGCCACCACCACACCGACCCCCTCTGTGTTGTAGAGCATGGCGGGGCGGGGCAGCCAGCGCAACCACACCCTTTCCACAGTGCCTCAGTGCCCTCACCTGAGCGACAAACTCCCCTTCTCTCAAGCAGTGAGCCACCACCACTCCCACGCCCTCCTTGTTGTAAACGAAATAGAGCATGGCGGGGCGGGGCAGAGCCAGCAGCCTCAACCCGAGGGGGCGCGAGGAGAAATGCACCGAGAGCACCCGCTGCAATTGCCTGTGCCCCTGCATTGTCACCCGCTGCAATTGCCTGTGCCCCTGCATTGTCACCCGCTGCAGTTCCCCTTTCACCCCCTGCCCCGTTATCAACGGCTCGTCCTCTCCTTTTCCCCAGTTATGATTGGCTGCATTCCCCGTTTCGTCTGGTCTTTGGGATAATTGAACCGGGACGAAACTTGCCGCCCGGATGCTGCTGTTAGCGCCATCACAGCCAATCAAGTATGAGCAGTCGATCTCGAGGTTTGGGGGGAGAGGAGGAGGGGAGTTGAGAGGAGGGGAGGAGGTAAGAGGAGGCGACGGGAAGGATGCGGCTGTGTGTTGTTGGTGGTGGTGCTGCTGATGTTGCTGATGGTGCTGCTTTAGCTGATGTTGGTACTGCTGCTGCTGGTTCTGAGTCAGAGAATTTTCTAAGGAGGATTCCAAATTCGGTGTAGCGCGGAGGCTAACTCTTATAGGCTTCTCCGATGCTGATCTTATAAAGGGGATGGTCTGGAAGCCAGTAGAAGACTTAGAGTAAGTGGAAGGGGGAGAGACGGGGGAGGGAGAGGCAGAGGTAGTGGGAGAGGTGGAGAGAATGGTAGAGGAAGAGGAAGGGGTAGTGGGAGCGGTGGAAGGATGATCAGAGATGGGTTGGATGGGGCTGGTAGGATGCTGCTGAGTAGAGGAGTGGGAATGAATGGACGGATGCGATTGAATGTGGGAGAAGGAATCAGCGGCGTAACCAAAGAGAACAGGTGGCAGCTGTAACCCGTTGCTCGGTGGTAACCCCACATCTTGTTGTAACGGCTTGTGTTCTGGTAACCGCTCCTGATGTGGTAACCGCTCCTGATGTGGTAACCGATTTCCATCTTGTGGTAACCGATTTCCATCTTGTGGTAACCGATTTCCATCTTGTGGTAACCGATTTCCATCTTGTGGTAACCGTTTTTGCTGCTGAGAAAAGCGTGAATCCGATATTGCCTGCTCCAGCAGCAGCGGCAGCAGCTTGTTTTGGGAAAAATGCGCCACAGAGGCTGGGCTTATGTGCGAAAGGCCTGGGGAGGGGGAGAGTAGATAGGGCACAGCCGCACAGGGATACTGTGAAAAGGACGCTGCGTCAGCAGCAGCAGCGGCAGCAGCTTGTTCTGCGAGAAATGCGCCACAGAGGCTGGGCTGATGTGCGACAGGCCTGCACATGGGAGGAGGCAAGGGAAGAGGAGATGGGGCACAAGGATAGAGAGAGAGATCAAGAGAGTGCTAGGCTCAGCAGCAGTAGCAGCAGCTTGTTCTGCGAGAAATGAGCCACAGAGGCTGGGCTGATGTGCGACAGGCCTGCACTGCGGGCGGGGGGTGGAGGGGAGTGGGGGGATATGGGATGGGGCACAGCCACACAAGGATGTTGTGTTGTGAAAGACAATCTTTTAGGTGGTTCTGAGGAGCTGAGTTTTGAGTCGAGTCAAAACTAGGTTCTGAGGAGCCAAAAAAGAAGGTGAACTTTGAGTAGACTCAACAGTCACCTCGGTTCTGAGGAGCTAGAAAAAGAGTCAGGGATGTTGTGAGAGACAGTTTTGAGAGAGACGGATGGTTGTGAGGAGACAAAGAAGAGTCAGAGATGCTGTGAGAGAGAGAGACGGTGACTGTGCCAGCAGCAGCAGCAGCAGCAGCAGCTTGTCCGTGGAAGAAATGAGCCACAGCAGTTGGGCTTATTTGAATTTTGAGTCGACTCAAAAGTCGAGTCGACTCAAAAGAAATGAGCCATAGCAGTTGGGGTCACAAGCGACAGGCTTGGCAAGGGACGAGGAGATGGGGCAAAAGGATAAAGCGAGAAGTAAAGAGAGTGCTGGTTTCAGCAGCAGCTTGTTTTTGAGAGAAATGAAACACAGCAGTTACGCTCATAAGCGACAGGCCCGCCCTTTGAAGCGGTCCTGCTGTCCCAGCTCTCGCCCCACCATGTGCGTCCAGTGCGCACACACAAGCACCACTCTCGCCCCCTCTCTCGCCTTTCCCCTTTTGATTACCTTCCTGCCCTTTGAAATGGTCCTGCTGTCCTAGCTCTCGCCCCACCATGTGCGTCCAGTGCGCACACACAAGCACCACTCTCGCCCCCTCTCTCGCCTTTCCCCTTTTGATTACCTTCCTGCCCTTTGAAATGGACTTGCTGTCCCAGCTCTCGCCCCACCATGTGCGTCCAGTGCGCACACACAAGCACCACTCTCGCCCCCTCTCTCCCCTTTCCCCTTTTGATTACCTTCCTGCCCTTTGAAATGGTCCTGCTGTCCCAGCTCTCGCCCCACCATGTGCGTGCAGTGCACAAACGAGCGCCACTCCTCTAAAGGGGGCTGCTGACTTGTGATGTGATTGTAAAGGGGGCCCATGAGGCGAAAAATCTAGGGGAGGGAGGGTTGGAAGGAAATAAAGGAGGAGTAGAGACGGAAGGTATAGAGAACAGAACAAGGGCTTTGGAAATAAGACGATGCTGCTGATTCGTGAAGTGATTGAGAATGGGGACCATGAGGCGACCGAAAATGATCCTGCTTTCCCACCCCAGCTCTCGCCCCAGCATGTGCGTGCAGTGCACAAACGAGCGCCACTCCTCTAAAGGGGGCTGCTGACTTGTGATGTGATTGTAAAGAGGGCCCATGAGGCGAAAAATCTGGGGGAAGGAGGTTTGGAAGGAAAGAAAGGAAGGAAGAGAGACAGAGATTTATTGAGTGTAAAGGGGGCGCATGAGGCGAAACACCTGGAGTAGGATCAGTGGGAAGGAACAGGAGCTGTCAGAAACGGTTGTGGCCGAAGGCGAAAACATCAGGAGTAGGATAAGAAGGATAGGAACATATGGAAGGGAAAAGGGGTGGAGAGAGAGGGAGAAAATTCCCAGATTGCTTTGTATGCATGAAACCTATAACTCCTGTATGTGTGTAAACCGACCATATCAATGAAAGGACCATTAGAGAGAGAGGGAGAAAATTCCAGAGAAAACATGATGTGACTATAAAGGGGGTCAAGTTGACTGAAACGTGTTGGCAATATGGGTGAACCAGATTATACAGGATAGGAAATGGATGAGAAAGCATGTGACTATATTGGAAGTTAACGTGCCAAGGCTCAAACAACAAGAGTAAACACACCTTCAAGTGGGCTGCCTGACCTGTGCCTCTGCGTTGCAAACAATGCCATAGGATTTACGTGACATATGGTTGCCTTGCCACTGCTGAAAAGTGCTGAAAAGTGCTGGATGGAAGGTGGCGCACCTTTTAAGTGACCTGGTTGACCCGTGCCTGAGAAAAGCAAACCAAGCCATTGCCATGCCATAATATTCACATGACATGGCATGGCTAACAAAATCACATGCTATCCTATCCATCACATGCCATCATAGTGACCGTACATCATCACATGCCATCATAGTGACCGTACATCATCACATGCCATCATAGTGACCGTACATCATCACATGCCATCATAGTGACCGTACATCATCACATGCCGTGACCGTACATCATCACATGCCATCATAGTGACCGTACATCATCACATGCCATCATAGTGACCGTACATCATCACATGCAATCATAATGACCGTACATCATCACATGCCATCATAGTGACCGTACATCATCACATGCCATCATAGTGACCGTACATCATCACATGCCATCATCGTGACCGTACATCATCACATGCCATCATCGTGACCGTACATCATCACATGCCATCATCGTGACCGTACATCATCACATGCCATCATCGTGACCGTACATCATCACATGCCATCATCGTGACCGTACATCATCACATGCCATCATCGTGACCGTACATCATCACATGCCATCATCCCATCATACATTCTTCGGCGCACCTCCATGGTTCTGTTGTTAATGAGATGCGCTGCGGGATGCTGATGCAGCCCATGCTCCTTCTCCCCCACCACATTCCGAAGACCTGAAGAAGGGGGGAGGGAGGAGGAGAGAAGCTGAGCGAGCCGTTCATGCCTGCACGGCACCCTTGCCTTGCTCCTGCTGATGCAGCCCATGCTCCTTCTCCCCCACCACAGTCCGAATACCTGAAGAGGGAGAGGAGGAGTGGATGTGAGAGTGAGAGGACGAGAGGGAAGCCCCACAAGTGACCTTAATGGTGCTGCTGCTGCGGCACCTACTCCCTCTTTACCACCACATTTCAAACTCCTGAAGAGGAGGGGGTAAAGGAAGGGAACGCACACCCCAATGTGACCCTTCTAGAGCCGGCATGCTGCCCCTGCTCCTGCTCCTACTGCTGCTACTCTTGCTGCGGGATGCTGCTGCAGTGCAGCCCATGCTCCCTCTCCCCACCACAACGCTCAGAACGCCTGGAGAAAGCGAGGGGGAGAGAGCATTTAACAAGTCTGCCTAACACGAGCATTAATGTTCACCTTGTTGCGAGAGCATGATGGAAAGAGAGAGCCCCACCGGCCCCGCGCCCACAATCACCACCGGCACCGACGCTCGCGCAACCGATCCTCCGCCATTCTTCCCGCTAACCCCTCCGCCAATCGCAGCCGTTGATCCAGCTGCCGCCAAACCAGCAGGGACCGATCTAACGGCCGTGGGGCCATCAGCGGTAGATCCAGCGCTAAATCCGCGCGAGGGGAAAATGAACCCTTTAGAGAAGCTGTGAAGACTGGATTTCGATGAAACGAGAAGAGTGCAAGATAGCCGGCGCACATGACGGTGCGGAAACCAGATTGTCGGGAACATAGGCGAAACGGTTACCGTGGCGAATGATTGCGTCGGGTGAATCTGCAGGCGCTTGGAAACGAAGTATACTACACGTGGAAACCCTAAATTTCTGCGCGAAGTGTCATGCGCCGCGACTCGCGAAGTGATCGAACCCGGCGGGTCGTGGAGGGCCCAACTTCGCTTCCTTTCCTTTCCTCTACGCGTCCTCTTCGAAGCGAGGGGGGAGGTGGAGGAAAGGAATTGAGTCCCCTAAACTTGGGCTGGGATAACATGGATTACAAGACGGTCTAGTACGATAACATGGGTTACAGGAGGTCAGTTACTCTGCTCATTTATGTTCCATACTGGCTGTACTCATTATACCACATTACTTATCCACTATCAAGTTTTTGGAGAAACCCTAAACTATCTTCGAATTGTGAGAACTTGTGACGCCTGGGGACTGGCTCCTTTTTTGGGGGCCACCCTGCAGAAATGAACGACAAACACTTGTTACTTGGTACTCGCAAATTGTTTCTTTTCATTGTTGGTGAGGTGAACAACCATTCGCCGACGGCTCAGTAAGTCACGTGCTCGTTTTTCTTAGCCTCTTGTGCGGTTCTTGGTGCGGGAGGTCGTTTCGCTCTATATGTCAATGCTGACGGAACCTTGAATGTAGTGGTCGGGATGATATACCTCAGCGGACAGAAAACGCCGCCCAATTTCGCGGTTTCGATAGGACAAGGGCCCCCCTCGGGATTGACGAACTCCTGACGACTCCGAGTGGCAAATTGGGGCGAAATGGCAGACCTCTGGGCCCCTGGAGCCCTCGGGATTGTCGACAAACTGACGACCTCGGGCTTCGCTGAGAGAAACCCGAGAAGGACACCTCAGCGGACAAAACTTCACAGCACGCCACGTCGAGCCGCGATTTCAGCGCGGGAACTCGACTGCGCGCCCAAATTTGTCGGTTGCCGATTCACGCGGCGAAAATCTGTCTGTAAAAAAATGTTACAGCTGTCAGGCATCGCGAGCTGCTCGCCATGTCGGTGTCGACTACGGATCCAACGGCCTAATCCGAGCCACGCGGCTCCATCGGTTAGTGCCTTAACACTGTCTAGGTTAAAGGAATCTAAAGACACACCCTAGCGCTCCGCAGGAAAGTCGGCGCCGACCACGAGGGGCTCACGGTGGGCTTGCCACGTGGCTCTTCAATAATCCCGGGCCCTTAGGCCATGGAAGTCGGCATGTCGGCTTTTCTGCAGAGAGGCACCAATGATGGGCCCACGCCACGTAACGCACGCACATCCCACCGTGGACGTGCCCATGCTTACGCCCCTTGAGTGCAGCGCGGCGACCCATTAGCCATGCATGGCTCGTGGCACGTCGGACACTGCGCTGCCGCACGAGAACACATGCATAGCGGCACAAGCATAGGGGGTTGCGTGAAGCGCGGCAGAATTGGAGTTGCTCACGACCATACCCCTCCGTGACCTTGCGCTGGTGCTCATTCCCTTGTCCGTTCCTGCGTTCCTTCCTGCTCTCTCTTGCACATAGAATTTTCCGCTCCCTAGCTATCTTCACGAGCGTGGGTTACTCGTGCGCCGACCAATCGATCACGTCGGCACCGGTAGCGTCTACCTGACATACACTACTCAGGTCGGTGTTTAGGTAACCGAACGGTCAGAACGCGTCGACGTCGACGTCGGATGTTTTAGGGCAGCATCTCGGCATAGTATCAACAGCTCTACCGACCAAGCAAGACGGGACGAAAGAAACTAACTAGGTCGGCGACGCATGGCCAGAGGACGGCCTAGAGCCCAACAGCCGCAACCCATCCCACGCCCTGCCGACTCTGTAGACGCCGACATCAAAGCGCAGGTGGAACGCCTCGAGCTCGCCGCTGAGTTAGAAGCACTTGAGAGAGAATTCGAAGAAGACGCCTGAGCAACTCATCGGGCGTACACCGCACCCGTGACTCAGTACCGTCTCTGGTGGTCCATCCTTTACCCTGAACACGGTCGACGGTAGAGCAAACTACGAGCGCCTGCATGGCCGACGTCGACATGTCCGACGTTGGTCCCCCAACCGACCACAATCAGACCTCTACCCCCGAAGAGACGCTCAAGTTACTCTACGATCTTGACGCACTGACACAGATTCCAGAAGGGGAGTTCACCCTAGACATTCCCCCACCACCGATAGGGGAGTTTACGAAGCCAGCTAGTAAGTCGACCCCGACGCAAGATGGGCAGCCTGGACCTTCGTCGGTACCGGCCGACTCAGGAAACCAGGTTGATGACGAGGAGGAGGAGGAGGAGGAGAGCGACGATAAATTCGATGAGCGTCCTCCGCGTAGCACGAATCCGCGCACCTTGGAAGAACGCCTCCGGCGGGAACTTGAATACATAGATAACCTGCTCGAACAGGACGAGGAGGAGGACGAGCAGAATATGGCGGTGCCACACAAACAGTGGAGAGCGGCAGACTTCGTCGAGGACGACGTGGTTTGCGCCTGCATCAACGTGCTGGTCATAGACGCCCTACGCCACCTGCAAACCTTGGAGAAGAATAGCACGCTGAGGCTGTACACCTCGTTCATCTACCACTATAAGAGGTGGGCGGCGAAAATGCTGAAGCAAATACGCGAAAAGCTTCCCCAGGAGCATAGGCTTAGGCACGTCGACGAGATCGGCCACTACATCCAAGACAACAAGAAGAAGAATTGGGACAAAGTGGCCGAGGTCCCCCGGGAGTACATCTAGCTGCACGGCCCTAGGGTAACCGAAACCCGGCTGCGCGCCTACGTGAAGTTCATGATACGTGAGTGTAAGCTCGATGCCGAGTCGATCGAGGAGGGGAAAAATGCCTCGCAAACCCAGCCTGTGCAAGGTACAACGGTGCACACGCTCCTCGGGCGCATAAAGGCATGCCAGATGGCGGCGAGAGTGGAGGCAACGCTCTACCGGGAGAAGGAGCTGAGCATCATGCGGGAGATCTCAATGGTCAGATCAGAGGTGCGGTTCATGGTCCGCACCAAGAACGAGAGGGACGTCAAGTAAGTTTGTCGACACCGCCAACCTCTGTCCACGTCACTCTGAAGTCGACGCCGTCAAACCACAAATACTATGTGGCTTTGTGGGCAGGAATTGTGCCGACCGGCGTCGCGGCAACATCGGCGATACCTACACCGCTGAACAGTTCCGCCAGATCATGATGAAGGTGCTGCCGACATGGGCGGCGTCGGCGCGGAACCCGCGGGAAACCGCTCCTTCGCAGACGCTGTGGCGATTTCTGCTCACCAAGGCGCTCACGCTACTCTCCCACCACACTCTCCTGCGAGGCGCCAGCATCCGCGAGATCACGCTCCCCGACATCTTCTTATACTGACTGGCTAGCACCTCTTCGGTGAACGCGGAGAACCAGCCGGTCGTCATGGTGATCGCTGTGCGGAACTCGAAGACTTCCAAGGATGCACATCTTCAGCAGAGCTACGCGGTGCGACACCTGGAAGCGGAGTTGTGCGCCGTCGACGCGATGTGGTTGCACTTCATCCTTGACCAGATCGGTCAGTTCAACGGCGTCGACTTCCTTGCGCCGCTTGATACCACCGAACGCGAGCGCTGGTACAAGAAGCACCTCTTCTTCGCCCGCAATGACAAGGAGCAAAAAGAGCTCTCCGCCGCCAGCCACCAACGTTGGACGCGGCAAATGTGGACGACCAACAAGGTGTTCTGCAAGCGGAACATGCACGCCGCTCGTGCCGGAGGTGCGCAGGAGCTAGCCATCGAAGGGACGCCTCGCGCCGAGATCGCCGAGCTGGGTCACTGGGCACTCGACAAGATGACGCGTGCTTATATCACAGCCATTCCCGTTGGGGGGGTGATGAGGAAGGCCGGCTACTCGGGTTGCAAGCAAGACTAGTTCTTGGATCGCAGTAGGGTCGAGCCCTTTGACAATCTATTGGACATCATCGCCGAGCACATCTTGCTCAGCATGGATGCTCTGCTGCGCGATATATGTTAGTCGACGCCGACAATGTCCTTACGTCGCCATAGCTTTGTTGGCTGCCCAACGCCTTACTAACCCACATCACTTGCCGACGTGCAGGCGGAAACGCGTGCTGCCAAAGGGAGCGACGCCAACAAAGCCGCCGTGCACTTCTGGCGTACCCTCCAGATGATGCGCCGCATCGTAGCCGAGGACCTCGCGGTGAAGCTCGTCCGCACCCCTTGGCACCCGTACGTCCAAGGTTCCAAGCTCTACCGGATTGCCCTCTTTCAGCACTGGGCGAAAAGGGTCGAGAAGATCGACACCGAAACGATCAACGAACGCCGGGACCCAACCCTCATTCAGCTAGAGGTAAACCGTCGCTAAAGTTGGCGTCGATCTGTTACGGGTGTATTCTAAACGATTTTCGCCTTTCCGCCTTATGCTGCACAAAATCTCCGTCAGCTTGGACACCAAATACCATAACATGTCCCTCAAGGAGACGCTGAAGTACGAGAGGGAGTGCTCCGCGGTCGAGAAGATTGACCTTCAGGAGGAGATCGAGAAGCACGACGATACCATCGCGACGCTGACCGCCGAGATAACCCGTCTCACCGAGGCACTCCGTGTGTCAGACGCACTGAGGATGCCGGCGGCGCTGCCGTCGGGGAACGAGCAAGCACCGAGCGAGAGTGGCTCCGCGGATTCGGCCAGTACGGGGGCCGGAGCCAAGAAACGGGATGAGAAACCCCCGAAACCCCCACAGACGGTCGACGAGGCTCGTTACGAGCTCAACGTGGTGCAACTTTGGCGGGAGGCAAAGACCGTGAGGGACGCTTGGCGCCTCTGGAACTCCGCCACCGCCGATGAAACCCGTCGTCTTTACGACAGGGTCGTCGAGCCAGGATTCGTCGACCGCCACACCCTCCTCAAAGGCACGACATGAAGGTGCGCCGCATGCTAAAGGCCATGGATGCAGTGCGCCTTCTTTGCTCGAGCGACGGCGATGCCGACACCGAAGCCGCCGTCGCTGCCCTGAACAAGATCGCGGTGCCGGGCATCGGGACCTTCTGCGATGCCCTCACGGTGCTCAAACCGGAAACCGCACCGACGAAGTCCAAGGAGCCTGGCATGGGCGTTAAGGGGCTAGGCCCCAAGTCGGTCTCGAAGCTTCGTCTCGCCTGTGCGCTGGTGGCGCTCAACTTGAAGCCGAGCGCTTGGGACGCCGTCCTGATTCCAGACACCTGGGAGGAGCAGATGCCAAAGACCGTGGCCGACATGGCCAAGCAGACCGCACCTGTGCTGCGTCCTCCGTTGGAGCATATGCGTGTGCGTAGTTTGATGATGCTGTAATTGTGGTCGATTTTACCAAACCATGATGCTTATATTTGTCAAACTTATATATAGCTTACATTGTGTAGGCTGTAGTGGGGTAGCACATAAGGGGTACAACCCAATTAGGGTTAGTACTTGTACCCAACTCTTTGCTAGTTCATTCATTCTGGTTCATTCTCTTGACATGGTTTCAGAGCAGGTCCTCCGCTAGGACCGGTTTTCCTTGGGCCCACCAATTCGCTGCCCCACTAGCAGCCCCTAGCGACCCTCGTGTCGCCCCTCTGCCCGTCGCCCCTAGGCCCGTCGCCCCTAGCCCGGCCCGTCGGCCCTAGCCAACGCGCCCCTAGGCCCGTCGCCCCTAGCCCGCGTGCCCGGCCCGTCGACACCCCTAGCCCGAGCGCCACGGCCCCGTCGCCCCTAGCTCTCGCGCTCGGCCCCGTCGACCCTAGCCCTCGCGCCCCAGCCCTGTCGACCCTAGCCCGCGCGCCCCGGCCCTGTCGACCCTAGCCCGCGCGCCCCGGCCCGTCGACCCCTAGCCCGCGCGCCCCGGCCCGTCGACCCCTAGCCCGCGGCCCCGGCCCCGTCGACCCCTAGCTCGCGCGCCCCGGCCGGTCGACCCCTAGCCCGTGCGCCCGGCCCCGTCGACCCCAAGCCCGCGCGCCAGGCCCCGTCGACCCCTAGCCCTAGCGCCCCGGCCTCGTCGACCCCTAGCCCGCGCGCCCAGGCCCCGTCGACCCCTAGCCCGCGCACCTGGCCCCGTCGACCCCTAGCTCGCGCGCCTCGGCCCCGTCGACCCCTAGCCTGTGCGCCCGTCCCCGTCGACCCCTAGCCCGCGCGCCCCGGCCCATCGACCTCTAGCCAGCGCACCCAGGACCCGTCGACACTAGCCCCCGCGCCCCGGCCCTGTCGACCCTAGCCCGTGCGCCCGGCCCCGTCGCCTCGGGCCCTCGTTTCAGGCCCCGTGGCCCTTTGTTCCTAGCCCCGCGGCCCATCGCCCCTAGGCCCAAGGCCCCTCGGCCCCCCCCCTCGTTCCTGGCCCCGCGGCCTGACGCCCCTAGGCTCCTGGCCCCTCGGCCCCTTTGCTGCTACTGCTGCTACTGCTGCTACTGCTTCTTCTACTGCTGCTATTGCTCCTGCTGCTACTGCTGCTGCTCCTTTGTGCTGCGCCATTATGGCTTCGCTTCGAGTTCTCGCGTTCGATCATGAGGGCAGACCGATTCAGTTTGACACGTGGCTCGATGACCTGCAGCTGTACCTCCTGAGCGATTCTAAGGACAGTGTTTCGCTATTTGGCCTCGCGTCAGGCGCCGCTACTGCCCCTCCAGCCACAGCTGACAGTGCGACTCACTCAAAGTGGCTTACTCGTGACGCTGCTGCCCGCTTAGCCATTCGCAACCACCTGCCGTTAGCCGAATGCGCTCACTTCGCTCAGCACAGGACAGCACAGGACCTGTACGACGCTGTAGTCACTCGCTACTCCTCGCCTGCCACTGCTGCTCTAGGCCGACTGCTACTGCCCTACCTGTTCCCCGAGCTGTCAGCCTTTCCCACAGTAGAGGACCTTGTTTCCCACCTGCGCACTAGCGATGCTCGCTACCGCGCTACTGTCCCTGCTGAGTTCCTTGACAGGAACCAGCCCCCGATGTCCATCACCCTCTAATTCATAGTCACTCGCCTCCCTGACTCTCTTCGCTCTGTCAGGGACCACTTTCTCTCCCTTGACCCCACCTCCCTCACTGTTGACCTCCTCGAGCAGCACCTCCTCGCAGTTGAGACTAGTGCAGTTGCTGTAGGTGGTGCTCGTGGCACTCCGCACCCGCCCTTCTTTGAGGGGTGCTCCCCCTCCCCCCTTGCCCCCTCCTACGCCTCTGCTGCTGCTGCAGACGTCCCTGTTGCTGAGGACGTCGGGGCTGCTTCTGCTAGTGCGAAGCGCCGCAGCAGCAAGGGCAAGGGTGGCAGGGGTGGTGGAGGTGGTAGCGGCGTTGGTGGAGATGGCAGCGGGAGTAGTGGTGGGGGCAGCAGTGGAGGTGGTGGAGGCAGTGGAGGTGGTGGCGGCGGTGGGACTGGTGGCGGGAGTGGGGGCTCTGGCGGTGGCGGTGGAGGCAGCAGTGGGAGTGGCGGCAGTGGCGGCAGTGGGACTGGTGGCGGTAGGACTGGAGCTCGGCGTGGAGGCTGTGGAGGTGGCCAGCGGCAGCAGTAGCAGCGTCAGAGCGAGACCCAGTCGCCCCAGCAACTTCGTGAGTGGTTGTTTTAGCGTGGGACGTCTGGGGGTAGTGATAGCTGCCCGTATGTCATTTGCACAGTTGACCGTGCTGGTCAGACATGCGGGAGGTTTCACACTCAGCACCGCTGCTTCTCCCGCCTCGACGACGCCTGGCGTGCTGAGTTTGGTGACGAGGTCGAGTGCCCTCGCTGGGCAGATCTGCTTAGGTCTAGTGTTGCTATCTTTGACCTAGACTTTGATGCTATCATTTCTGCTATGTACGCTTTGTCTGCTAGTGCTTAGGGTGACTGTTACCGGTGTGTGCCACCTGACCCAGGTATAGCAGCTGCTGCTCTAGGTGCTAGTGAGTCTGGTACTCTCCCTGGTACTGCCCTTGCTCAGGGCTTGCACACCTTCACCTTGGACTCAGGTGCCTCGCGCTGGTTCTTTCGTGACAGCACCACCTTCACTCCTCTCCCTGCACCTGTCCCGGTCATACTGGCTGACCCCTCCGGGGGCCCGGTCGTTGCTCGTTCCTCCACTGTCCTCCTATGTCCAATGGTTCCGTCCGGCTCACTGTCAGGTCTTCACCTCCCCTCGTTCTCTACGAACTTGGTGAGTACTGCTGCCCTCCAGGACGCGATGGTCACTACCACCACTCCTGGGGGTCAGCGTGTGTCGATCTACACGTGTACACGGACGGGGCGTCACCTGGCCATGTTCACTCGTCGGCCAGGGTCGAGTCTGTACACACTCGCTACCGAGCCTCCTCAGGTAGCTGCGTCTGCTCAGGTGTCCGCGTCAGATCAGGTAGCCGCCTCTTGCTCGTGTCGCCTCCTGTCGCACCAGACTATTCTGTGGCACCACCGCGTGGGTCACCCCTCCCTGCCACGCCTTCGTGGCATGCACTCCCGTCTCCTTGTCTCTGGTCTTCCCATGTATCTGCCTCCCTTACCGACCTCGCCTACCCCGCCCTGCCTTCCTTGCGTTGAGGGGCGGCAGTGCGCCGCTCCTCACTCCTCCTCGTTTCCCCCGACGACTGCTCCCCTATAGACTCTCCACATGGACGTGTGGGGCCCAGCCCGCGTCAGTGGACAGGGCCGCGAGCGCTACTTTCTGCTGGTTGTTGACAACTACACGCGGTACACCACGGTCTTCCCCTTGCGCAGCAAGGGTGAGGTCGTTGATGTCTTGATCCCTTGGATCCACGCAGTCCGTCTCCAGCTCCGCGAGCGGTTCCGCCAGGACCTTCCTGTCCTGCGTCTGCACTCTAACAGAGGTGGTGAGATCTCCTCCGACCTCTTGCAGGACTTTTGTCGTGGGGAGGGCATTCTCCAGTCGTTCACGCTTCCGGAATCCCCTCAGCAAAATGGGATTTCTGAGCGCCGCATTGGCTTAGTCATGGAGGTCGCTCGTACCTCCATGATCCATGCGGCTGCTCCCCATTTTATGTGGTCGTTTGCGGTCCGGTACGCTGCGCATCAGCTCAACCTCTGGCCTCGTGTCTCCTTGCCGGAGACCTCGCCCACACTGCATTGGACGGGGGAGGTTGGCGATGCGTCGGTGTTCCGGGTCTGGGGTTCTCGTGCCTTTGTTCGCGATACGTCCGCGGACAAGCTCTCCGCCCGTGCTATCCCTTGCGTCTTCCTTGGCTTTTTCCCTGACGCGCTTGGCTGGCAGTTTTACCACCCCACCTCGCGCGGTGTCCTCTCTTCTCAGGATGTCATGTTTGACGAGTCGGTTCCCTTTTACTATCTCTTCCCCTTCCGCTCTGCCCCTCCCCCGCCCCCGCCGCTCTTCCTTGCTCCCGGTCCCCCTCCGGTAGACCCCCTCCCGCCCTAGGGTCCAGCTCCCTCAGGTGTGTCTCAGGTAGACCCTCTCCCTGGTAATGCGCCTGTCGAGGTAGCTGTCGGCTCGGGTGCTGCTCGAGGTGCTGCGTCTGGGGGTGCTGCGTTTAGGGGTGCGAAGCCGGGGGGTGCGGAGTCTGAGGGTGCTGGGTCTGGGGGTGCTGAGCCAGGGGGTGAGGAGCCTGGGGGTGCTGAGCCTGCGGGTGTGGAGCCTGGGGGTGCTGAGCCTGACGGTGTTGAGCCTAGGGGTGCTGAGTCGGAGGGTGCGGAGTCTGGGGGTGCTGAGCCTCGGGGTGCTGCTTCGTCTGGAGGTCCTGCTGGTGCTTCGCCGCGACTGTCTCCGCAGCAGCTGCGTGAGTGGCTTGTTCGGCTCGCTCGCTTCGGAGTGGAGCTACCGGAGCTGGAGGCGCTGGAGACGCTGGAGCTGGAGGTGCTGGAGTTACTGCTGGAGCTGGTGGTAATGGAGGTTCTGCGGCTGCTGGTCCTGGAGGTGCTCGTACCAGGGGTGCTGGAGCTGCCGGGACTGGTGGTGTTGGGGGCGCTGGAGCTGGAGACCCTACGGAGCCTGGAGCTGCTGGAGCTGGAGGCTCTTGCGCTGGTGGCACTGGCGCTGGAGGCGCTGGAGCTGGAGGAGCTGGAGTTGGAGGCACTGGCGCGGGAGGCGCTGGAGCTGGAGCTGTTGACCCTGGAGCTGGAGGTGCTGGAGACACTGTGCGGCCGCGACCGTACTTCGTTCCCCTGCTGTAGCAGGTTCTTGGTGTCCCGTCTTCTACTAGCCTTACTCCTCCCCTCTAGTGTCCACCGCCTGACCAGTCGCAGCCGCCGTTACTGTCAGCCCTCCCCACTGTCTGCTCCTTCTCCTTACACTGAGCAGTCCGGCGGTCTTACAGAGCGTCGTGAGCCTGCGTCTCGTCCTGTCTCGCTTGTTCGCACTGCTCGTCGCGTTCCTCGTTCGCGTCCTCCTCCTGTCCCTGGCACGCACGCTATGGCACTCCGTCCTTCCTCTGTTCCACTGCGTGTTCCTCTGCCTGCTCCTCCTGAGTCCTCTCTTCCTGAGGTCCCTTACCCTGAGTCTGACCGCGCTCGTGCTGCCAGACCCACTATCTCTCGTCTCCTCGCCACTGTTGTCACTGACCCTTCTTTTGAGTCTGGTGATGCGTCTGCTCTCGTTGCTGAGCTGCTTGACTTTGCTGCTGCCTGCCGTCTAGACTACGCCACTGCTCTTGTTGCTGAGTCTGCGTCTGCCAGTCCTCCGTCCATCGGGGGTGAGTGTACTTGTACCCAACTCTTTGCTAGTTCATTCATTCTCGTTCATTCTCTTGATAATATTGTTCAGGAAGTTGGTAAACAAGACGAACCTAAGGCACAGAACAGGGCCCATGCGAACCTAGATGATCCAACAATGGTAACTACAGTCGGTCGCCGACCAACAAACAACCCGAATATACTTGCAGACAGCCAAACCCTCTATGTCGATAGACACCAAACGATGCCGACGTATTGTCGGACTCCGACATATACGCCGACAAGGTTCATCCCCGAGTAGCATGTGAATGTGTGCAATTCAGATGGTAGCGATCAGGTCGACATCGCCGACGAGGGTTCTAGTTTCATGCACTACCAAAAAGTTACATGCACTACCACATAAGCAAACACAAAAAAAGAGTTACAAGCACAAAAAAAAAAAAAAAAAGATCCAACAAAAGAACTACGCAATCGGCGTCGGCCAGACCAAACTGTTATACACCCTAGCATTCAAACCACCTAGCGCTCCCTCCGTGCGCTGACTACACCGCCGTGCTGTCCTTGCCCTTCCTACCCTTCTTCCACGTGTTGTCCTTGCCCTACTTGCCCCTCTGCCCCTTCCTCCCCCTGTGTTCAATATCGTACTCCATCTGCGCGTCACACGGCACCGCGATGCCGATCTCTTCGAGTTTCGGCCCGGCGATGGGGCACATTCCCCAGAACGCCAAGGTCTCCACCGTCGCTCTAGCGATCACGTCGGCTTCGACTTCATGATCCACCCCCGGATAGACCCGGTGCAGAGTGAGACTCTGCAGCGCCGGCGCGACGTTGTGCGCAACCTACCCGAGGGGTTGCTCCCTGTTGATCTCGGCCTCCAGCACCACCTGCATGACCTCCTTGAAGACACCGGCGGTCTTCTCGCTCGCACCGACCACCATCGCCGCCGCCTTCCCTTCGCCCACAACATCGACCACCTGGGCGTCTGCGTTCTCGACTAAGCACCACATGGCGCAAGCGGAGGCCGATAATGCCTGTGCCGCCATCGCCGTCTTCTCATCAGTGTCTCCCTCCTTCGTCGCCGCGCTCGCAACGACCTTCCCATACGCAGCGCACATGGACACGCGACCTATCATGGCCGACATCATAGCATCCAAATTCTCCTTGCCTTCCTTTGTGACGGCATCGACGGGGAACCAGATCGCCGGCAAGAGCGCGTCGTGGTTCGCATCGCCTGAGCTCTTGTACGCTCGATACTTGCCGAGAATGTCATCGAACCTGTGACGCAATCACATGAAACCGGGCGACCATTAGTGACTCCGACATCGTCATCAACACTCGGCCGAATGGTATCCGACTTACCATGTTTTTGGAAGGTACGCGCCCCGTGTCCATATCACCGTCCACATCCCTGTCGGCAAAATCTTGACCTCCTCCCACACCTTCCTCCACTTCTCCAACTCGGTTTCCTCCAAGCCGGTGAGCTCGGCCATGAGGACCTTGCTGGCGTAGCCGTCGTAGACGATGTACGCAATCGAGTGCAGGTACGCCAGCTCCATCTTCTCGCGCGACTTGCCGATGTATCGATTAGCGCCGAGCACCTTAATCTCGCCCACCCACCCAAGACCGTCGCCCGAGTTGTCGTGGCGGATGCCATGACCCTTCCGTCCTTTCTCCTTCTCCTTCTCCTTCTCCTCCTCCTCCTTCTCCTTCTCCTTCTCCTTCTCCTTCTCCTTCTCCTTCTCCTCCTTCTCCTTCTCCTTCTCCTTCTTCTCCTTCTCCTCCTTCTCCTTCTCCTTCTCCTTCTCCTTCTCCTTCTCCTTCTCCTTCTCCTCCTTCTCCTTCTCCTTCTCCTTCTCCTTCTCCTTCTCCTTCTCCTTCTCCGCCGCCTTCTCCTTCTCCTTCTCCTTCTCCTTCTTCTTCTCCTTCTCCTCCGCCTTCTCCTTCTCTTTCTCCACTGACTTCTCCTTTGCCTTCTCCCTCCCTGTCTCGGCCGACATCGCCCGTGTTTTCCTCTGAGAGCTCGCCCTCCCTCTCCTTGTGTCGGCCTTCCCCTTCCATTTCGACTCTCCCTCGCCGACAGCATCAGTGATCGTCTTTGGCTCCGCTGAACCACCAGGGGGACTCGCCGAGGGCTCCACATGCGCCGTGTCTGAGATGGCCAGAGCAGGGGGGTGCCCGGGGCATTTTACCACTTCCAACAGGTTCTGGATGGCAGCGATGTCGGCGTCGTTGTGGCCTTTCGACGCATGTGCAGGGTCAACGGCTCCGCCGCCGGTGGCTAGCGCTGCCCTCACGCCCTTCTCCGCCGCCACGTTCACCGACGTCGGCGTCGTGCTTGAGCCGGCTTCCGGCTGAGTCCGTGTTGGCGCTGCCGCACTACGTGCGCCTAACCGAGCACGAAGCAATGCAGACTTTGGGTCTGCAGGAGGACGGGCGGCGACCAGAGGCGCGGTAGGTGGGGCACTGGGCGTTGTGGCGGCGACCTGCGTAGTGACCGAGCGACGTGCTGTTTCGGCGGGGGCGGCATCGACCAAGGGAGGCTGCTGCACGTCCTTGCGATGGGCCTTGCATTTCCCTGAGCGCGTTCGCAGCTGCGGGCACCTTAGTGGCGGACGAACCATCGCGGTTAGCCGCAGCATCCTTCGCGTCGCCCTTGGCGGCAGCCGAGCCTGCTGGAGCTGGAGTAGCCGCAAGGGCCGACCCATCGTTGTTGGTGGCTGACAGGCCGACCGGTGCGCTGCTAGCCGTAGGGGGTTTACAGGGAATCGACGTGGTCCTCGCCACCCCGACAGACGGTCCCTTGACGGTTCTGGCGCCGCCATCTATCGCTGTTTGAGCGGTTGGGATCTCCTTGTCGCTCAAGCCTTTCCCGCCGCTCGCCAGACCATGTGGCTTCTCGGCGACCAGGGGCGAGGCTGTTGGTCCAGCATCTTGAGCGGCAACCTCGTCGGCATGACCCCCATCTACACTCCCGATTCCATCGTTGTTGGCGGCTGACGGGCCGACCGGCGCGCTGCTAGCCGTAGGGGGTTTACGGGGAATCGACGTGGTCCCTGCCACCCCGACAGACGGTCCCTTGACGGTTCTGGCGCCGCCATCTATCGCCGTTTGAGCGGTTGGGATCTCCTTGTTGCTCAAGCCTTTCCCGCCACTCGCCAGACCATGTGGCTTCTCGGCGACCAGGGGCGAGGTTGTTGGTCCAGCGTCTTGAGCGGCAACCTTGTCGGCATGACCCCCATCTACACTCCCGATTCCATCGCCCTTGCTGTGCGACCTTATCACCTTGGCCCCGTTCTTCTTGAGCTGGTCGACCATGCTCTGACCTCAAGTCCGCGAGCCGCCAGGACCCACCGCGCCAACGCCGCGGCTCCCATCGGCTCCCTTGCTCCGCTTCACGCTCCCCGCATCATCCCCGCCGCCCGCCCTTTTCTGGCCCTGCTTGTCGGCCTCCCTTCGTTGCGCGGGATCGGCGTCATTGGGCGACGGCGACGACCCACGCCGACCAGGCACCACATTGCCGATCACCTCGGTCATGAGCTTTAACCCGGACGCAACAAACGACTGCTGGGTGGCCTCCGTCACCGCCTTCAACACGTCCGCCTTGAATGACTTCATGAGCTCGTCCGGGAAGGCTGGCGTGGGCTGCGGCGGCGGCGGCGGCGGCACAGCGATGGTGCGAGGTACCGCGGCGGCAATGTTGGTCTGCGCCGCGGCTAGGTGCTTTGAGATGTAGTCCTCCAAACCCAGCTTCTCATCGTCCACCACCACTTCCGCTTTTGCGCGTTCAACTGCCATACTTCCCTCCGGACCGTCGATTTCCGCCAACCACGTCGACGCCTGTTCGGCGAAGGACTTCATCGCCTTCCACGATTCGTCCATGTGGTTGGTGATGTTGTCCGTGATGGTTGTCGACACGGCCGATGTCGCACATAGCAGCCGTTTCGCCGCATTATGGTCGGAGACGACGACCTGGTCGGCCAACGACTGGAGCTTGTCGAGGAGTCCACATATCCCCAACGCAAACCTGTCCACCCGACCCCTTTCCTCTCCGTGCGCCTTCTCCAGACGGGCATTTTCTGCCGTCAACCGCCTATTCTCCTATCGCAGCTGCTCGACGACGTCCAGCGGTGCCTGCCAACCAGATGCGGAGGAACCGGGATGACCGCGCGCCGCCTTCTTCTTCCTAGACCGCTCCCTCCCGGCCTTCCCTGCAGTGGTCTCGGTAGGCCCGTCCACGCCCGTCTGCTTCGTGGCCGCGGCGTTATCCCCTTCTCCAACGACCTCGAGTTCGACAACTTCTTTCGCGTCGCCAACCACATCGCCGACCACGACCTTCTCACTCCCCCCACGAGCCGCCTCTACGCCTCGTCGGCATCCTCCCCTCCCTCGTTCACAACATCCGCCGACCTCCCACCCGTTTTCGCCGCTCCCTCTACGTACTCCACCTCCATTTCCTCCAACTCCCACTCGACCTCTTCCTCCTGCTCCCCCTCTTGCTGCTTCTCCGCCTCCTCCACCTCCTCCTCCTCCTCCTCCTCCTCCTCCTCCTCCTCCTCCTCCTCCTCCTCCTCCTCCTCCTCCTCCTCCTCCTCCTCCTCCGCCGACCCCCCCCCCCCCTCCTCCTCCTCCTCCTCCTCCTCCTCCTCCTCCTCCTCCTCCTCCTCCTCCTCCTCCTCCTCCTCCTCAAGATCCTCATGGTCCTCCTCTTACTGATCCTCGTTATCATCCTGATGGACGTCCTCGTCCTGGTGCTTCTCCGCGGTCCCAGTCACCGCCCTTCCTGCCTCCTCATCTTCCTTGTCGACGCCGCCTCCGAGCTCTCCGATCGAAGTCCCACGTGCATCATCGACGGTGTGGGCGACACCTACTGCTTGGGATGCCGAAGGGGCCTCCTCGCCATCGTCGTCACAGGCGTCGGCAGCAACTCCGACATGGCCCGACCGTTTGAGAGCGACGTGCTCCTTGACGAATGTTATCATCCCATTCCGCAGCCCCTTCAACCCCGAAACGTTGACCTTGTCCATGCTGGTCACACTGTGACGGAGGGCGCCGGTCAGGAGATCCATCCTCCTCACCACCCAGCACAACGCGCTCATTGCTAGCAAGTCAGAGCCCGCATCCCCGTCCCGGACGGTGTCAGACACTTTTTGCATACAACAACTGTTCGGCAAGGATGAGCACCACATTCGGCAATCGCATCGCGCAAGGATGACACACTATAGGACGGTAAATCGTTCGGAACTCACATCTCGAACGGGTTGATCGCAGTCGGCGAGCCTGTCCTCCACCTCTTCATCAGAAGGCTTCGCCCACTCCCACTTCCTACCATCGCGCCCAAGCTCGGCCAGTACCGCCGCCCGGAAAAACCTGAAGCAACATGGCACAGATTGTCGGTAAGAATGGTTTACGCTGCGCGGCGGAATTGCATGCGTCGTCGACTACAGTATCGAGCTCACTTCAGCACGCGGATCGCCTCGTCGCAGTGCCACTGCTTCACGGTCTGTGAGTCAACGTTCCGGATCGAGGTCCTGATCTTCTCCCCCCCGGCCTTTAACAAGTCGCTGGGGTATATGATGACAACGATGCTGCAATGTGCTCCTGGAAGCGGTGCGATGCTGCACCGGTAAGGCACGACGCCGTCGTTCATAATAGAGCACCGACATAGGATGCAACACACATCATGACGACTTCGAACCAGCTCACCTCAAAGTCAGGGGGATAACCGCTATGTCGGCACCGAAAACCGTCGCAAAGCATGTGTGGTCCGCCCGACCCATCGCTGCCCGAAGCCGGCCGAGTCCTATCGACCACAATCGCATGTTGGCCGGCGCCGCGCGAGTCCATGCGTGCCAACACGCATGCATGGGTATTAGAAGTGAGTGAGGAGGTGCACGACACGACGGGGGATACGTTGGTTTAGGAACCGCCAACTGACGGGGATGGCAATAGTACGACGGTGCACCACCCTCGCGACGTTGTAATCAATGGAGCCGACCGATGCGGGCCTAAACCCTGTGCCGACACCGACCTACGGTAGATAACCCTGAATCCTAAAGTCGGCGTCAACGTGAACTGAACTAAACCCTAAACTCATAGCGCTGCCCTAGACGTGGGACAACCCTAACACCGACGCTGCGACGACCAGCAAGGTATGTAGAGGTCAACGCCGACATGTTAGAGGGCCCTACGACAGCAAGGGCCCTCGACGACTTGGCAAGACAACTACGCTAAGACGGGCATGGAGTGACACCAACACAAGGAGTGCGTTGATGTCGCGCGACTACTGCAGTGCCAATGAAGTCCGTGCTGGGGTGCTGCTGGTCTAGTAAAGTCTTGGGCACGCTTCTTGGGAAGCGTGCCACTTCCTAGCAAGTCTATGGTTGTCTTGTGTGGTGTTGCCTAGTTGGAGTTGGTTGGTTGGGGTGGCGTGCGAGAAGGGCCATTCCGCTGCTGAGTTGGGTTGAACTCCTACGAGGCGCGTTCAACACACCTGCACACCACTTTCGTGAGGTTGGGTTACTACGCAGTGCCACGCCAACTTTGTGAAACCTGAGAAAAAACGAGGGAATGGAATGACTAAGGGAAAGTTGGGTACAAATGCAAACCCTAGGAAAACTGTACCCCATATGTGCTACCCCACTATAGCCTACAGTAGCTATGTCATATAAATCTGACACACCCCCATAGGCAAAGTGGGGGAGAACAAGGGGTCACAAGACCAGTCAAGCAAAGCAAAACAAGCTCAGGGTGGATCACAAAGTCACCACACATTCCGAGCACAAGTTCAAGGCCACAAGGCCAGTTCACATGTAGGATTACATATATATATATATATAAGGCTAGACAAGCAAGAGCAGGTGTATATATATATGCAACAGTACAAACAAGGTCAAGGGGTGAGCAAGTGAGGCAAGGTAGGCACAAGACCCAGCTGAGTACAGAAGCGCTGATGATCACAAGGCGCAAGTGCCTTGGTGAAGATATCAGCAGTGTTGGCCTGAGAGGCCACGTACGCAAGCCGCAGCTGACCACGCTGCTGTAGCTCACGAGCAAGGAAGTAGCGGAGAGCAATGTGCTTCGTTCTGTGCTCCAGTCTCTGCTCTCGACACAAGGCCAGCATGGCCTTGTTGTCTACGTACAGCACTGGAGGAGAACGAGGCGGCTCTCCGAGGTCAGTCAGCAGGTAGGTGAGCCAGCGAAGCTCCTGTGCAGCCATGGCCCCGGCATAGATCTCAGCCTCACAACTGGAGCCGAGAACAGAAGACGAGCGGGTAGCCTGCCACGAAACAGAGCCGGAACCAAGGCTGAAGGTGTAACCCTGTGACGACCGCTGTGTAGCCTGGTCGTCAGCCCAAGAAGCGTCTGCGTGCCCAGTGAGGACCACTGGACTCTGCCCTCCAAGCACAAGCCCCATGCCCGACGTACTGCACAAGTAGCGCAACACCCTCTTCGCTGCAGCCATGTGCTCCGGTCTGTGTCTCCCAGGAGCAACATAGCGTGCGAGAATGCTAAGAGGGTATGCAAGGTCAGGTCGTGTGCAGGTCATCAGGTACATGAGGCAGCCAACAAGCTCTGGGTACGGGCCACTCGACTCTACGGACTCATCCGAAGGCAGAGCTGAGAGCGAGTAGCGAGTAGGCAGAGGAGTGGCCTGAGGCGAGGAGTACGTGAAGCCGAAGCGCTGAAGGACCTGCTGCACCATGTGTGACTGAGTCAGGGTAACGGTGCGGCGTGCTCTGTCCCGGGTGATCTGCAAGCCAAGGTAGCTGCGCAGTTTACCCAGGTCTGTGCACGTGTGTCTCTTCTGCAGCTCGGACTTCACGTGGGCGAGTCCAGCAGTGTCAGCTGTGGCAAAGACCAAGTCGTCGACGTACACGAGGATGTAGAACGGCGGCAAAGAAGTGTCGGTGCGCAGAAACAGCGACGGGTCGGCAGTAGAGGGAGCAAACCCAAGAGCCGCAAGTGTAGTCCTCAGTGTGTCGTGCCACTCACGCGGTGCCTGGCGGAGACCGTAGACTGGCCGCCGGAGGCTCCACTGGGTGCCAGGAGGAAAAGACCCAGTGAAGCCAGGTGGGCGACGCAACCAGATCTCCTCGTGCAGGCTGCCCTGCAAGAAAGCAGTGCTGAAGTCAAGAGAGTGCAGCTCGTAGTCGCGGTGAGCAGCTATGTGCAGCAGTACCCGAAGAGTGGTCATCTTCGGGGTGGGAGAGAAGGTCTGAAAGTAGTCAACTCCCTGCCGCTGACTGAAGCCACGAGCCACGTAACGCGCCTTGAAGACAGGCGGAGAACCCGGCGGCCGCTTCACCCTGAAAATCTACATGCCACTGACGATGTTCGCCCCAGGCGGGGGAACCTCGTCAACGTAGGTGCCTGTGGACTTCCAGGAAGCCATCTCTGCGTCCATAGCTGCCTGCCACTGAGAGGAGTAGGGACCCTCTATCGCCTCCGCGTAAGAGCGCGGAGTCGGGATGTCAAGTGCATCCGGGTCTCCCTCAGGGGTAAGCAGTACGGACACGAGATGAGGTGAAGCAGCAGCCAAACACTGGAACTCCTCCTGCCTGTCCTCAAGGACGTCCGTGCCAAGGGCGCAAAGGAAGGGTCAGTGACAACAGTAGCAAGGAGACGCCTGACAGTAGGACTGGCAGCACGAAGAGAGTCCGACTCCGGGTCAGGAAGAGCAGGAAGAGAGGACTCAGGAGGAGAAGGCAAAGGGGCACGCAGAGGAGCAGTGGACGGACGCAGAGACATCCGGTGCGTGCCAGGGACAGGAGGAGGACGCTGACGCGAACCACGACCACTAGTGCGAGCAGCACGGACAGGCGACGCAGGGCGAGACGCAGGCTCACGACGCTCAGCAAGACCTCCAGTAGGACCAGTGTAGGGAGAAGGAGCGGGCAGTGGGGAGGCCGTCTGTAACTGTAACTGTGACGGGACAGGCTGTGGACACTCTAAGGGAGGAGGAGGACCAGTAGAAGGCGGGAGACCAAGAACCTGCTGAAGGAGCGGAACGAAGTACGGCCTAGGCCGCGCGGCGACTCCAGACACAGCAGGGACAGCACCAGTACCCCCAGCGGCAGCACCAGCGCCAGCAGCACCTCCAGCTCCAGTACCTCCAGCAGCACCAGTAGCACCCCCAGCAGGACCGCCTCCAGGACCGACAGCAGTAGCCTCAGCGTCAACACCCTCAGCAGCTCTAGCTCCAGTCGTACCCGCAGGCCCAGCAGCTCCAGTACTCCCAGTACGAGCACCTCCGGGATCCGCGGCACCAGCACCCTCAGTAGCCGAAGAACCTCCAGCTCCAGCAGCACGCCTCCAGCGCCGGGCAAACCACTCGCGCAGCTCCTGTGGAGAGAGTGGCTCCCGCCGAGACGAAGCACCCGGAGAACCTCTAGGCTCAGCACCGCCAGACGCCACACAAGCAGGCCCAGCTCCCTCAGGCTCCGCACCCCCAGGCTCAGCACCTCCAGGCGTAGCACCCCCAGGCTCAGCACCCCCAGGCTCAGCACCCCCAGGCTCAGCACCCCCAGTAGTAGCACCCCCAGGCTCAGCACCCCCAGGCTCAGCACCCCCAGTAGTAGCACCCTCAGGCTCAGCACCCCCAGGCGTAGCACCCACACGCTCAGCACCCCCAGAGTCAGCACCCCCAGGCTCAGCACCCTCAGCAGCACCAGAGTCACCAGTAACCTCGACAGGCTCGACTGCGTCTACCTGGGACACACCTGAAGGGGCAGGACCCTGAGGGGGGAGGGGGTCTACCGGGTGGGGACCTGGCACAAGGAAGAGCGGTGGCGGGGGGAGGGACGGAGTGCGGTAGGGGAAGAGGCGGTAGTAGGGGACCGACTCGTCAAACGTGACGTCCTGGGAGGACAGAACACGGCGAGAGGTGGGGTGGTAGAACTGCCACCCTGGCGCGTCAGGGGGGAGGCCAAGGAAGACGCAAGGAGCAGCACGAGGGGACAGCTTGTCCGCAGACAAGTCGCGGACAAACGCCCGAGATCCCCAGACACGGAACGCAGACGCATCG